ACATTTATGAACCCCTGTCATGTATGGTGAGATGATGTGACAATCTGTAACAGACCTGTGTCCTTCCCCAGTGATGACAATTCTCCAAAGAAGCTAGTTATGATGCTAGCCCCAGGCTGCCAGCCCACTGTTGTTTTGCCACGGTTCATTCCCCTTCAGAGGGAAGACAGAGTATATTCTCGGGCTTTTGTTCAATTAAGACTCACCCTAAACTCAGAGCTGCATTGAAATGATGTATCTCTGTTGCTAGTAGTTCAATTAATATTTTAATACCCACACCCATCTTCATATGAGGCCGTGAGCCAATCTTCTCGAATGACTAAAATATAGGGAACAGAGACTCTTACACGTGTGCTCGCTGAAATCAAGCAGTGAGGGGGGAGAAGTAGGAGGTTTAGGCATGCTGCTCTCCCCCAAATAGGGGCGTAAATCATATCCGAGCATGATATTTCGACCTTATCCTAAAAGACCAAAAGCTTTTTCTCTCAGCTGTGTGGGAATGAAATAAATATTTACAGATAAACAACCAGACAGTTAAACATCCACCTCTCCAAAAGCCAATTGCCCAGGGCTTTTATTAAATATCGATTTGATTTGTAAAAGGCCAGATGCTGCGGGGGTTAAATAAATGTCATGTTCTCCCATTCCCGTTTACTTTTCTTGTCCTCTCAGTCGGTGACATTTTCTCCTGCTGTGTGCACACAGAGCAGTAAAACCACCGACCAGTGCACACCACACTGACCCAATCCATCCTTGTAGAGGATGTAGAGGTTTCCTTCCAACATCACCCCACAATCCTGCATTCTGTATGTTAGCAGTGAACCAGAAGCCAGTGTATGAATGTTTTTGTTTGTATTAACCATGGTATTAGCGCACGAAATAAAGCAAAGCAGTAAAGCTCGGTGCATGCATCCTTGCGAGAATTGCTTGTCAGCAACAGCAGGGAGGAATAAGGCATCGTCTGACAACAAGCCATCTTTGAAATGCCTCCAAGAGGGAAATGGCATCCATTAGAGACATACAGAAAACGTGTGTTCACCGAAGGGGGGGGGGGTCCGAATCACACACACACACACACAGATAATTGTTTATCCCTGGGAGAACCTTCAATGTTTGTCTGCGGGTGGCTAAGTAAGTTCACCAGCACTATTGGACAGGGAGTGCCCAGCAGACCCAAGGCTCGAAAAACATTAGGATGAATCAATTAGGCTGCCATTAGCCAATAAAGTGGCCCTCACTGAGTCGTGTAATTATGACCCACAGCAAAGCCAATTTTATGGAGGCACATTATCCCTTTCTTTTCTTTATTAATTTTATTTGTTTGAGATAATCCCGCCATGGTTTTAATTATGTGCTTTAGGTTCAGGGTGGAATAAATAAATCATCATTCGCTTCCATCACTTCTGAACACTGCAGGTCTGGGGCTTTCTCCGTGTAGGGAAACTACCCATTGCACGACACGAGATTGTTACCAGTATGACTCGCAGCGTTGTAAGGATCACACTGATTAGTCTTTTAAATTAAAAAATGAACACTGTCGCAAGAATCCACATTAACCCCACTCGGAGCAGATTCCCATCAGATTGTATGATAAGAGGCGGCAGGAAGAGCTGATAATATAGGCAGCAGCTACTTAGCTTGTTACCAGCTCAGAGGACACTGTGTAAGTGTGACAATGTGCTGTCAATGAGGGATGACAGTACACAGCCAACATGGCGTAATGCATTGTTCCTTCCTGGGTCCCTCCTGACAGATGCTCTCCAAGACAGCTGGATCAGCAGCAAGTATGGAGCTGGGATCTGTGCTGCGTGCGAGCAGAGGATGCGATATGCGGCTGATTAGCGAGGGTATACATGCGTCAACAAGCAAGGCCTGGGGATCATGTCGGAGTTTGTGTTAATAGTCAGTTTAAGACACGTTTACCTATTTATTTTGAGCACAATTCTTGGCTTTGAATACCCAGCCTACCCGGCTAAATGTAGGCGTTTGCTTTCCATTTGTCTGGGTCCTTTTTTTATTTTCCATCTTTTGAAAACAAAGTCAGCCTACTAGTGTTTTTTTCTCTTTGCCTTCCAAGAGATCTCCTATGAAATGACCTTCCCCTGCAACAGCCGCTCTTATAAGACTGATGTTGGAGGTGCTTCAAGCCAAGTAAAATAAACACTTCATGAATGTTAAGCTGGAACTTGGCAGACGTGAATCGAATCATTTCTGTGGACACAGGGAAGTTTTATGTTCCATATTCATTTGATAGTCTAGACGTTTTATGGGTTCGGGAAGAGATCTGGCCTCAGTTTTTTGGTAGAAACATCTAAAAAGGCCTTCCTCCGTTACATTTGTGCGGTGGTGCTCTTGAAATTGTGCTTTTACTTAGTATTTTGGGAACACTCTTTCCTCCTACCTGTGTATTCAAGTTACAGGGTCAGGTGAGCTGTCCAAAGTCAAATTTAGAAATAAAATTAAGAATAAGAGACATTCTGTAACTCGATACAGAACATCGTAACACATTTTTAATCCCCCCTGGAATACTAGATGTAGTTATTGTGTGATTTTGTCTAAATTGTTTTCTGTCTTTTTCTGCTTAAGTCTGTACTGCTGAGTTGTTTTTGTTCTGAAAATGACTTCCAGAAACTACAGCTCATTTTCCTCCATGGGATATTGTGGTGTGCTCTCATTTTAACACCCACTTTATTCTGGTATTTATGAGGTGGTAACTATAGAGAAAAACTGCCTCTCCATACTGGTGAGTGTTCAGGAGCCGGGGAGCGTGGGGTGGGGGCCTCTGCTGATGTGCGTTAACTAAAGCGGACAGGCGGGTCTAGGGTTTCTGATGGAGCAGGTTTGATCGGGTCATAACGCGGCTGCAGTCGTGGCGGCGCGGAGGTAAGGTGGGGTGTGAAGCCATCTGAGATTTGCCCCTCCAAGCCCATCCATACATTACAAGGATGATGAAGGAGTCTGGGTAATGAGACAGGATGTTTGTACAGTCTCGCCATCCCAAGAGACCCCCCCCCTCCTCCTCCTCTAACACTCCTCCCACACTCAATCCACCTCCCGCCGAGCCCGTGGCCTGACCCCCTGACCTCTTCCACTCACCAACAGTTGCCATATTAGCATTTCCAGTCCACTTAAAGCCTGGGAGGGGTGACTGAGGTAGCCCCCACTCTTCCTCTACTACTACAGCAGGCTTCATTCACATCCCAGTGACCCGCTGCCCAGGCCTACCAACCCGGACAACAGTCTGGGGTTAATGCACCAAGCACTCCCATTGTCTCTGAATTAATGAAGTGCTCCCTGCCTGTCCCTTCTGATTCAATGACAGTGAGACACATGACAAATGGTAACGCTTTAAATGGCTATCGACACACGCGGGGTGTAAAGCCACAGAGTCAGAGCTTGTGTTAGCACTGTGGCCGAGGCCCTGTAACGATAGTGCCGGCTGCCATCGATGCACTTTCGATGTCCACTCTGGGATCAATTTGGATCCTAGCAGCACCACGCTTCACAAAGGAGAAGGTGTTTTATATTGAAATGGATGGTTCTCATATGGAGGAGGAAGAGTCAAAGCCAGGGAGTGTTTTCACCTCAGAAAATGGAAGGTGAGACTTGCATCTTTTAAAGAATGGCGAGGGAGACCTCTAGTGGAAGGCAGAGGGATCCGTCCAGATTACCGTTGATGAATCTGGAAGATTGGGACCATGCAATAGATGTCAATTGGAATTTGATATAAAAGAATGAACGTGAACATTTGCTCCATCAGATCACATCAGGTCTCTTAATATGAATCACTCTGTACACTGTGCTGTTTTAGATGTGAATTCATTCATTCATTATTCCCTTTTTCTCTGCCCATGTTGTTTCTTTCCACAATTTATTGGCTGGCATATGATAATAAAATCTATGTATATATTTAATGTACACAAAGCAAATTTTTATAGAGAACTCATATTTACTTTTCTTTTTACTTTAATAATAATAATAATAATAATAATAATGATAGAGATGAAAAGAAGGAAAAGAGGAGAGACAAAGAAAATAAATTAATTATAGATGTGATTCCAGCACTAAGAAAGGAGAGGTGAGAGAAAGAATTAATATAAATCTCTCTGTCTTGTCATTACCAAATACTGTACTTTATATTTTCAAGTTGAAGGTTATTCAAATGTAGGCCTACAATTATTTTAATTTAAATGAATCTGACAATTATTTTCTTGATTAATCAGTTAATTGCTTGTTGTATAAAATGTCTATGACAATGTCCTAAAGCCCAAAGTGACGTCTTAGACATTCATTTTCCAATCATAAACCAGCAAAGCGCTTCATTTATTGTCTAAATATTATGCAAAATTACTTTTCTTGCAGCTCTAATGAAAGCAGCCAACTAGTTGATTTAGGAGGGTGGATGACTGGGTTCCCAATTTTATATAATCTAGAGTCTGACTTTTAAGGTGGATGAGGCTAGGGCGTCCTCGTGGAGACTGGAGAGTTTTGTGGTTTTGGTGGAAGGAGAAAGAGTCCAACAAGTCATGCCCAATGCTACTGGACAAACTTTCACAATTCAACAAATGCGTTCAATTTTAACTGAATGACTAAAACGTCTTCCCACTCATCATCAAACCTGTGGCCCAAATCAGCCTCAACAATCATACAACACATACACAGCTAATTTGTTGTTAACATTAATTGAAACAGACATTTTGGTCCCTAATTCCCTTTTAATGTCAGAACATTGTCATTTAACAAGGGATAAACAAATCAGTTTTAGTAGTCTTGCTTATGTATTTAGTCATTATTCCTTTATTATTGTCCACACACTTTCCACAGACAGTCTCTGCATGTGTGTCTCTCTTTGCTTCAACACGCTGCATCCCTCACACTGAGCCCGTGGATGTGTGGGTGCATCTCAGTCAGGCTTCGCAGCTGACAGCTTGTTACTGTGCATCACGCCACTGTAGGTGTGACCTTTAAGACTGACCTCTGACCTTCTCCTGTCACTGTAGTGCTGAGTATCCGCGGCGCTCAGGAGGAGGAGCCCCCGGATCCCCAGCTCATGCGGCTGGACAACATGCTGCTGGCAGAGGGCGTCTCCGGTCCGGAGAAAGGCGGAGGCTCGGCGGCGGCGGCAGCTGCTGCAGCGGCCTCAGGAGGAGCAGGGGCAGACAACTCTGCAGAGCACTCCGACTACAGGGCCAAGCTGTCCCAGATCAGACAGATCTACCACACAGAGCTGGAGAAGTATGAACAGGTGAGAACAGCAGACCTGACTGGATATATCAACATCAGACGTTTCATTTTTATTGACTTTTAATGAAGCGTTGATTGTTATAAGCTGTGAAAGTACCGTTTTTAATGCAGGCTTCTTGTTAAAAATGTGTAGAATGTAGATAATCACTTGAGTGATATCACTAGGGTTTAGAGCTGATTGATGATTGAATGATTAAATCCATTATCGATGAATCTGTTGATTATTTTCTGTAGAGGAAACAGAAAATAACGAAACAAATGTCATCACAGTTTCCCAGAACCCTAGGTGACTTGCTGAAATTGGTTGTTTTGTCTGAGCAACAGTCCAGGAACCAAATTCAATTGTACAATTATATAAAACAAAAAGCAAAAAAAAGCTTAGCTAATCCACAAAGTTGTGAGGCTGGAAAGAGCAAACATCTTTGCTTCAATTGTTATGTGAATCAGTGGCTAATTGTTTCAGCAGCAGTAGGGTTACTTTCTCATTCTTGACAAAGCTGCTACACAGCCAAACAACAGATTTCACAGGCAGAGTGGTTCTCTTCCTAATTACAATACAAACAATACCACTTTATTGTCAACCGTAGTGGACTTTAAAACATTAGATACCACAACAACCTGTAAAACAAGTGGCATTGACATGTAAAACTCGGGGTGCTCTTCAACCATTAGCATCAGTTGACATGAGCGTGACGAAGAAAAAAATAAATTGGAAATAAAGTTAAAAGTAAACTCGTCCCTAAAATCTGTGGACTTCCCCTTTAATACATCAGTGGATGTTACTCCATCACTTTATGGTTCTTGGCTTTCTGCTGAACCATTAGGGCACACTTGTGGATGCATTCTCTTATTATCTATTCATTTAGAGCCGAAAACAATTACTCAATTATTCAGTTAGTCAGAAGGTTCCCTTGTCCCAGCTACTCATTTATGAGGATTTGCTGTTATTCTTTATCTTACTTGGTAGTTAAGTGAATATTTTAAAGTTTCCGGACAAAACAAAACATTTGGTGATGTCACTTTAGCCTTTTGGGAATTGTGATGGTCGTTTTTCACTGTTACACTGACATCTCTTCGCAAAAGTCTCTGCACTTTTACTGCTCGATACACCCTCTAACACAAAAAAAGTTAATGGCTGTTAACATATATTTCACAGACTGTATCATTGCTGAGCTGGTCTATCATCCCACCTTTTGATTGCTCTTGTTTTTAATTCAGGATTTTATCCTGAGGCAAAATCAGCCTTTAACCAGGTGGCAACCCTCAATATATGTCAATCTCAGTAAGAATTCACTTCAACTTGTGTTTTCACCCCAGAATAGGCCAGCATATGCAGTAGACTTGTGTGTCTCTGAGTGTATTCCAAGCATAGTCTTGAAAGTCTGTTGTAGGGGGAATGATTTCCTCTCATTGCCTTGATAACCGATGCATTCATGACAACAGCATCCCTTTCAGATGAATATGAGTAAGACAGATGAACACGCAGATAGACAGACACAGACAAAGCCTGACACGGCTAAATCCAGAGAGAGATCGACAGGAGTGGAAGGAATAAAGAAGAGGAGACAGTAAGAGACACCGAGCTGGAGTGTAATATCGTGGCAGATTCACGCCTGGTGTCACACGGGGGGGATGAATGAAACGTCGTGGCATGTTCGTCTCTCAGGGTGGCTATGCTGTGAAAGTGTGTGCCTGAGAAGGGAACAGCTGTCATTGGTTCCTCTCAACACACTGCCATCACCACTTCTGTTAAATATGAAATATATCAGTGCTTGTATTCCCCCTTGGCTCTTTGAGAAAGCTTGCCCCAGAACTACATTAAGCAAACAGCTGGAATTTTTTTTGTCTTTTATCTGTGAATTTTAAATACTGTATGTCATTGTGTGTGTTTCTGCAATGGTGAATTTGATATGGCTGCGTTTACAAATTAAAGTCTTATTCACAGTTTTGTTGATCTTAGGGGATTGATTTATTCCTGTGTGTGTGTGTGTGTGTGTGTGGATCCTCCTTACAGGCATGTAACGAGTTCACCACCCACGTGATGAACCTCTTGCGGGAGCAGTCACGCACGCGGCCGATATCGCCCAAAGAGATCGAGCGCATGGTGAACATCATCCACCGCAAGTTCAGCTCCATCCAGATGCAGCTCAAACAGAGCACCTGCGAGGCCGTAATGATCCTGCGCTCCCGCTTCCTCGATGCCAGGTGTGTGTCCTTGTATACAGTACGTGTGAGTGCACATTTCCGTTCTGCAAAACCATACACTCGCATACACGCTGCAAATAACCTCCCCGTTAAACAGCATTGCAAATCATCATGTGCTTCCCTCCCAGCCTGATATCCATATGAATGGCTGATGTAGGAGGCATGCTGTAAACATGCTGTAACACAAGCTGTTTTGCTACTCACCACACACACAAGGATAGTTTGCATCTAAGGGTGCCATTTGGACCAGCATACCCAGCAAAACTGGCCAATAAGAGTTCCCTGCACACTCCATAACGCTAACTGTTTCCCTTTTTTAATGTAATCGCTTGTTCCTTTTGATGCGGGCTCGGGATTTGCATACATTTCTCCAAGGATAAATGTCGCTCAAAGTCTGAGTTGGAGGCACAACATTTAAATGAGGAATGCGCTCCCTTACAAAGCTCCCTATCTATTCTCTTGCAAATTATTGTGGTGGCGCAGCAGCGAGGGGAAGGGAGAGGAAGAGGAAAGCTTTCACTGGTTGAGAGGCACTGCCATGCTCGGCTCCGCTGATTAATCTACTGGCTGCTGGAGCCCATGCTGTGCACATTTACATATTCTCAAGCAGGCTTTTGGAGTGCGGGATGGAGATTTTAGCACAAATCTCCTCACCGGTGGATGCAAGCATGGAGATTTTACAGGGTCCCCCTGCAGCTTATGTAAAGCCCTCTTTAGATGTGGCACATGCAGACATGACCTGATAGGTGTAGGAGATAGAGGGTCAGTCAACTCATGGGCATCAGCATATGATATCTGTCTGTTATAGTGTTTTGTTGGGGGGAGGGCTGGACAAAAAATATAAGTTTGTATTTCATGTTTTATTAATCCAGCCTTGTTTCTCCACATATTTGCTGCCATTCATGCAGGGAAACATTGTACTTGGATTGTCAGTGTGTTATCTGTTTCTTCGTATTGTTTTCTTATACCACATTTTATAATATATCTGATTATCTAATTGGCACATATTGCTATTAAACCTGTTTCTTTTTCAAATATTACCTTACAGACTAGAATTTGTTTTGGTTTGGTGGCCCTCTATGTGCTATTATTGCTAATTCTTTTTCCAGTTGCTCATGAACACAGCTGTAGTGAAGCAGTTCTGGGCCAAATTTTTCTCATCATCAGCGTCTCAAAGCAAAGCTAGAGCTAAATTTAGAGTTCCTGGTGTGGCAGAGGTTTTTGCAAAAGAAAGAAATGTTTATCCAAAGCAAGACCAGGGAGACCTAAACAGATCATATAGTGGAAGACCAAGACACTGTCAAGCTAACATCTTGACTGCTGGGTTCACGTTAGTAAAACACAGAGTTTAGGTGATTGGCTTTCATTAAAACAACCTCTTCTTCAACAAGAAAACAACAACATGTCAAGCCATGTAGATGTTGATGAATCAACCTCTGTTTTATGGTTGCAATGTGAGAGCTTGTGTGAGGACATGTCTAAGTTAATGCAAAAGTCAATAAAACTTATTCTTCAGTTTGTGACTTGCATAGGATCATGTACAGATTGAGCTAAATAAAGCCCCACTCTATCCTGCAAAGGATTTTTATGACATCTGGTTAAAAGTTTATCACTTTCAAAGCCCCTTTGAGTAGGATTGACTTTGTCTCAATTTTTAACTTTAGTGACTCCTAGTGGTTGCATCAAAAAGACACTGTGTTGCAATGCACACCGCTATCCACTCTATGTTGTTATGATCAACGCAAACCGGGTTCTATTCCCGTTTTAATGCCTTGCTTCTTGCTTTTTGCAGACGGAAAAGACGAAACTTCAACAAGCAGGCAACAGAGATCCTGAACGAGTATTTCTACTCACACCTCAGTAACCCCTACCCCAGCGAGGAGGCTAAAGAAGAGCTGGCAAAGAAATGTGCCATCACAGTTGCCCAGGTACACCACAGATCAGTGGCTCCCCACACCACACCACCTGTAGGAAAACTACAGTACGTAGAACAGTGGGACGAACACGATTTCTAATCTGAAGCAGCTGTGAGCGTCTTGGCAAGTAACCTGATATGTTTTCTGACTGCCATGTGTACAGACAGCTCCTCTAATCTTTTAGCAGAAGCTTTCATTGAGACAACAAAGGACTCAAAGTATAAATATGCCATGTCATAAGTTTGTTGTCTTGTAATTCAAGCCAGACAAAGCTATTTTTGACCAATGACTGTTTCTATTGAAGTAACACAAGCTAAAGACAACAGCGCTGTCATAATTCTCATCTCATCATATAATTTTTCTTATAATGCACAAAATATACAAAATCCAGAGTCAGTAAAAGTACTTCTGTGAACAACAACAACTTTTGATAATTTATATTTGTTTAAACAATTCTTTCCTTGATGATTATGAAATTAGTTTTTTTTTTTGCCAATGATCAAACCAAGTTAAAAGAAATTATATATTTTTTTATTTTATTTTATTAATTGACTAATTAAAAAGATCAATATGTTTTGTTTGTGAAAATAATAGTTTCAGCCCTACAGTATATGGAAGTAATTAACAGGACCATTAGCCTCTGAAAATTAGCACTGCAGCCATATGAGGCATGTGCAGTGCAATGATGATTTACTATAAATCTTACTGTAACTTACCAAACATCTGAAGACACTTGAGATGTTTGTGCCAGTGCTGCTGACGAGCAAAAAGAGTCAAATATTTAGGCACCTTGTGTTTTAATCCTTGCATTCTAGCGCTCAAGTTGTTTCAATCCTGTGAGAATTGATAATAAGGAAAACAATGACAACACCAAGGTAAACAGCAGTTTGTGTTTTGAATCCATCATTTGGGAATGGATTGCTTTCTCAATTGGTTTCATTAATTTATACCGAGTGATTTGAGGATGCATCTGGGCCTGATTGTGGAAGCTGCTCTGCGGCTGAATGATTTGTAGAGTTTCCGTTTCTTGGCCATAATAAAGGAGAATGTTTACCTACTCTGTGTATTGGAAACTTTGCAGGATTGATTTGGTTTTCATTTTAATGTTGTTTATCATTAGCACTGGGATTACCCCCCTGGCTTCATCTGGGAGTCCATTAGCAGTAATGGGTGTTAGTGGATGTTGACTGATTGGTGCTTGCGTGAGTTCTGATGATAGCTGCAGTCATGGTGACATAATGAGACTGTTATTGGCAATCATTCCATTCTGGCACTAATGCGGATTCACAGCACCAGTCTATGTAGCCCCTACCTCTGACAGAGGCTCTCTGCAGTGTTACACATGCCATTAAGGCCATGCAAGCTAAAGACTACCGGGATTTCTCTGCTTGCCCTCAAATGTGGAGAGGCTCTGTATGTTGAGATTTCATGAGAATTAAACTACATTTTCTTGTTTGTCTGCTCAGGTTTCCAACTGGTTTGGGAATAAAAGAATCAGATACAAGAAAAACATTGGTAAGTTCCAAGAAGAAGCCAACATGTACGCTGCGAGAACTGCCGTGAATGCGGCTAATGCATCCTCACATGGAAGCCAAGCAAATTCACCCTCAACTCCAAACTCTGCAGGTGAGACAGGAAGTCCCTGGCTCTGCTCAGCTATTAGACATGTACCTCCTCTCTGTGCATTACTACAACTAAACTATTGCAGTGTGAATCAGTTTGAGGCTATTCAATGCTGGTGCTGGTGATTTGTAAGGAATGAAAGAATTAGGACTAACAAAAAGGCTGTTCTTGTACAAGGAACACGCCTATCGCCTGGTAATGCACCATTATCATACTACAGGTTAATTTCCCCTTAACAAATACAACTAGCTCTCTAGAACAAAGCTGTCAGAGAGTAGCCAACCTGAGCCCCATGCCAAGTCTCCCTATGCTTACTGTCCTTTTGTCTTCATATCAATTAATCACATTCTTCATGTATGACTATTTAACTCTGTATTCATCATGTTCTGCTGTACTGACATTCAAAGGATAGGTCTGGTGATATTCTATACTTCTTTCTTATTGTCAACAAATCAATTAAAAAGACAAAACCATTGAAGAATTAAATCTACTAACAAGTACTGCCTGCAACATCCTCAAAGCTGAAGCTATATATATATATTTAGTACACTGATTGGAAGTCGAACAGAGAAGTCGGAAAGTACTGAAAGACAGAATAACATTTGGTTAATTTTGGGTCTTTTTATGAGACTTGTTGATAATAAAAAACAAATAAAAACAAAAATAGAATAATGCTAGCCTTATCTTTTAAAGCTACAGTCCATTATTTGAGAGTCAGACATGTTTAGCCTAGCACAGAACAAGTGTGCAAAGCAGATGCAACTAGCTAAGATCCATAAAAAGTGAGAAAATATACATAAACAACTCCAAAGCTGATTTATATGCATGATGTATCCTGTTGTACCAAATAGTGACCAAAAAAATTCTGAAGTCCCACAGTCCGATGCATTGTCACATTTAACAGAGCTAGGCCCACAGTTTCCCCCTACGTCTAGTGCTTGTACTAAGCTAGGCTAAACACGCTACTTCTATAGTTAACTAAAAATTGAATGATTATTGATAATTTGACCTTGGGAAAGACAGCAAGAAAGGCCATTTGGACTGCTTTTTCAATTCTTGTTTTTTTTTTCCTGGTTGTAGCTTAGCCGTGACTAACCTTTCCAGAGCACTAATACACAAAAACGTACTTGACACAAACCACTCCTGTGTCGGGTTACAGCTGTATCTCCTCTGTCCTCATGTGTTCATTAGTTTATTCTTGGCTCCGTTCATCTCATCTAACAGAGCCTGTCTGGCTGCTCGCTAACTTCTGCATGGTGCTCCTCCAGGCTGCTGCCTGGACCAGCCAACTTGCTTTGCTGCTTGCTCTCTGTCTCTCTGTGATTCGACTGCTCCCTCTCTCCTCTCAGGTTCTGCTGGCTCTTTTAACATGTCAAACTCCGGGGACTTGTTCATGAGCGTGCAGTCTCTCAATGGGGACTCGTACCAGGGGGCTCAGGTGGGAGCCAACGTGCAGTCGCAGGTAGGGCTGTGAGCAGCGCAGCAGATAATGCAGGGGCAGACCCACCTCACTTCCCCGTAGACCTTTCTCACAGCAGACATTTTGACTTCCACAGGTGTAACTACTATCATTAATAAGACTGTTTGTTGTATTCAAGGTATTTAGTAGTAATTTATTAGTATTTGACTATTTGACATGTACCACATGTCCACATTAATCAAGCTAATTTTTAAATATTTACTGAGTATGTTGTAACTGCAAGGCTAGCAATAGTGCTAACCATCTTGGAACAGTGCGGGAACGCTCCCGAGTTGGAAAAATGGGAGGCTTTGGGCTTTCCCATTCTGCCAACATTGCGTGAACGCACAGTCGTGTTTTCTTGATGTTGTCTTTGACAGACTGTATATTTGCATGAACGAATTTTATTTTGTTGTCTGAAAATATGTCGCAACCTTAAATATTGCAAGCCTTGCTAGCATGAACAGACTCTTGTTTCGACGTCCCTCAAGGCAAACTGACCCAACAGTTTATAAAAAAAACTAGCTCACTTGAACCTAAATGGAACAGAGCCATCATTAATGGTATCAATTATACCTGTGCTTTTCCTACTAAGCCAAGTCAAACTGTCTGTTGTGAAAAAGGACAAAACAGGCTTACACTGGCTCCAATATAGAGCTTCTTTACAGTCTCAGGGGCAGAATATTTGTGTGTTCAATGTGTTCACCATGTGAATACTTTTTATTTTAACTAGAAAAAAGCAAAAGTTTTTTTTATCCTAAATGTCTTTTTTTGTTTGATTGGACCTTGTTGTCTCCAAGGATATACTTGCAGCAGTGTACTCTTGTTGTGTCTCTTGTCATCTTGTCATCCTCTCTCTTTTCTCTTGTGCTTCTCTTGTGTTGACTCTGACCTTGCTTTGTTTGTTGTTTCTGAATGTTTCAGGTGGATACCCTTCGCCATGTTATCAGTCAGACAGGCGGATACAGTGAAGGACTCACGGCCAACCAGATGTACAGTCCGCAGGCCATCAATGTAAGGATTGTTTTCCTTTTTTCTTTCTCTCCCAACCAATTATTTCAAAGCCATAGGGCTCAGAATGCCACTTAGCTGGACTTGTCTCTGCACCGTGGTCACCTAGTTGATTGCTTCTGTATCGCTCGCGCCATGGGCAGCACGATGGCCGACGTACGCAGGCGTGGGGCCGGCCACACACATGCAGAGCCGCCGTCTGAGCCTGTCATGTTCGCTCAGGTCTGGCGTAGCACCTGCAGCCACGTACCGTCAGCCGCGAGCGAACTGCACAAACAGGTGACACCTCCTGCACTGGACTTCAAATCCCTCTGACCACCTGACCCGTGATTAGCAGCCCCGGGGCCAGAAGCTCCCATTAAAGCCTCCTAGGAGACATCGCTGTCCCGCTAAAAATAAAATCTTACGCCGCTGGAAACAACTCCTCATGTGCCATAGGGTTGTGCTCCCCTCATGTTTGTCTTATTTTGCAGCAGAGTGTGGGTATAGAAGTGGGGGTTGGGGTTAAGGGGGGGAGGGTTGCTTGCTGGCGGCTGCAAACAGTAGGGAAATTCACAGCGACAAGCCGTGTCGTAAAGGGGAAAATCGATAAGACAGACACAAGGAGAGCAGAGTGTGGACTTGGGACAGCAATCCAAGCGCATTGCTCAGATCATGTTCCTGCCACACTAATGGCCCTGACAGCGAGCCGCGCTGAGAGGACGAGGACGGTCACAGCCGCGGCTGGGTTCCTCCGCTGTCGTCGTCGTGCCTCAGTGGCCATATGATAATCAGATGAAATGTCTCCCGTAGAAAAACATGTATGTGTATTCAAATAGGCTTTCTGGCTGCTCCGAGCACATCCCACAGCCTGCTGTGCTAACCCTGAGAGGCCGCTAACGTATTCAGGCCCTGTTCTTTCTCAGTCCTTTGACCCCACAAATACAGTTCTCCTTGGACGCCTGCTTGCTCTTCCACATCCTACACTGCCACAATATGCTGTGTTATTCACTTTTATACCCTGTAAAGAAGCCCTGCAATGCATAATGTAAGAGCAGGATATCTGTGTGCCCAGCTGTTTGCCTGTGATTTATGTAGCTAAGGCTTGTAAGTGAGGAATTCTGGCAGTTCACTTTTACTACAATATGTGATCCTCAGTTTTGTTGGATATATTTTTCCGAATAGTGGTATTTTCTAGAGCCCGACTGATATGGGATTTTTAAGTCCGATACTGATCACGAGATATGAAGATTTTAAAATCCGATAGCTGATGTTTCGGCCGATATATTTTTTATCTATTTTATATATTTTTTCCCTTTATTTTAAGAAAACAAGATTATTTGAGACCATACCAAGATACCGTGACATAATACAGTATGAAAAAAACTTTGTTATTGTTTGAAATAGCACTTTGAACAAAAGTACAACAAAATATATAAAATGTTTTGATAAATAAGAGTCAAATGCATAAAAATACAGACTTTTTTTTAAAATATCTTATTTGTTATAAATTATAGAGTACAACTACTAATGAACATTAAAGTAAATAGTGTATTGTGGGGGCCAGCAAAACAGAAACTATAAAAAAAAATACCTATGTACTAATACTGCTACTACTACAAATAATACCATATATCATATCTCATGTCATTGCTATAATATTAATGATAAAGAGGGCTCTCCTACATAGGCAAAAAATTATGTATATATTTCTTGTCATGCAATAGTTATTACCTTACATATAATCTGCCACAATGACTACTTTCCACTATGTAGCATATTCACATCTAGTTTATCCCTTTATTAGCACTCTGTTCTTTGTTCTGTCCAAAGCTACGAGAAACCATTTCTCACCACCACCTGGCTCTAATACATATCGGTGACACAGAGGAAATGCTTCCGTTTAATTAATATAATACTACATGACTGTTTAGAAGGAGGACATGCAACGTTTCACATTCAAAAGAAGAGTTAATGTTAGAGAACTTTGTTAGGCAGGAAGCCGTGTGAGATTCTTGTACAGCTTACGTTTATTCAGAGACAAGCAGCTCGCAGATATATTTAGAAAACATTAAACATTATAGTTTAACTGCTCATTAATAATGTTAGCTCTCCTCTACTGATAAACACGGCATTGGCTTTGTGGCTAATTTAACAATGGGCAGTGTTAGCTGCTGTAAGTTAAATGTTAAATAATATTTAGAACTGATGAACTAGGCAGAAATGAGAGAATCGTTGCCACACTGTTTCAGAAATAAATCTACAATCGCGTCTGTCAGCGTTACGTTAGCCTCCACCACTCACCTACTGAAACATTAAACATCCTGCTGTGACCCAGGTGAGTGCAGTGAAAAAACGGGAGGGTTAGCAAGTCTGGCATGAATGTTTTCAGGAGAGGAGAAGTGATGAAGCCTATTTGTACTATTATTTAAGTCCTGTAATTGACGTGACAAATGAACAACTCACTGTAAAAACTGAGTGTGAGAGCTATCAGGAGCTACTCATGGTAGCTCTGGTGGACTGCGGTCAGTCTGTGGTGCCGCAGTGTTTTGAACAGAGGAGCTGCAGAGCGCCCTCTGGTGGGCAAACTATGCAACACGTGACCTGAGGGAAGGATCTAGCGCTCTGTTTCTTTTTTAATAGTCAAATATTGGCTGTTATAAACGCTGATGCAGATACATCTGCAAGTAGCTTATATCGGCCAATAATATCTGCAAAACGATAACGTATAGTATCTAGTATTTTCTGTCAAAGTTGTTACTCTTGTGTGTTTTATGTCATCTGGATTTCTCAAATATTTCTGAGCACAGAGGAGTTCCAAATGGGTTATACTATAAAACTACATAAAGATAAAGTTTTTTTTATTAATTTTTGCTTTTAAAACTAAAACATGATCCAAAAAGTACAAATAGATCAGTCCTAGATATCTGCTGCACAAACCCCACCCACGTGGGATCTCAACCGCAAATCAGACAAATTATGTTACATATTTATTGTTAATTAAATACATGTATACCCTGTATCCAGGAAAACAGTTTTCCAAATATTTGAAGACAGATGTTATGAATGAAAAGTGGAGCAAATGATGAGAGTTTAATGAAACATCTTATCTGAAATGGAAAGACTGGATAATGACTGAGCAGATACGTAATGCATGCTGTGGATGATTACAGCCATAATTACAATTTTGAAACAGGCAGAGCGCCACGAAAGTCAGACATTCTACAATCTGACCCCTCCACTTTTGATTACACACCACTGTCTGCCGCCTTTAAATAACAGGCTTGGAAATGAAAGGCTGTCGAGAACCATTTCCACTTTTTCTGATGGCTTTAAATTTGCTATTAATTATCCTAAATGCTTTTTAACAGGCCGATCTCTTGTAGTGGAAAGGCCCTCCATAGCTTTTCTTCTGTGTATGTTCTTCATTATATGAATCTGAGTATACGGTGTATGATGGGGTTGAGACTGTAATTCACTCCATTTCTGCTTGGTTGAAACCAGATTTTTTTTTTTTATGTCAGTCTTATTTTGAAATATTAGCTGTAATTTGAGCTAGGTTAGCTTTTCCTCCAATCCAGGAGGCAATTTGCCTTAAGGCTGTGCGGCACTGTGTGGTGAATAGCTCAAAGTGCCCTGGCATTACATGCCGCATTCTTACACGACCTTGCCCTCAGGACTTCCATTCATTGTATCTCACTTGCTTTGACCCAGCTGCTTTGAGTAATGAATATGAAAGTAATAGCCTCTACCCACTCACCCACCCCCAACTTTTTGTTCTCTTTTTTTTTTCTCTTAGGCAAACGGTGGCTGGCAGGATGCTCCGACCCCCTCATCAGTGACTTCACCCACAGAAGGACCCGGAAGCGTTCACTCTGACACCTCCAACTGATCCTCCACCCGCTCACCCCTCCATCCTTTTCTTCCTAACTTCCTCCATCACTGCACTCCCAGCCATATCTCCCAAAACTAATGCTGAACCCCATCGGGGACAGGACATGACGTGCTGCGTGTAGTCACACGGCGGGACACAGTTGGGATCTCGGATGACATTTTCACCATTATGGACAAATATTTCACTTTTCCTATCTGGACCATCGCAGCACCGTTAGCAGCCTGCGTAGGAGACTCATATCTACACTTCACAGTTTGTACAGTTTCCACTCGATGTCCATGTTGCCTCTTTGTATTTCTCTTACATTATATGTTCACACAGTAGGCACACAGATAGCAGAGTAACGCCCCACATCTTGTAAATTGAAACGCTTTCACACTACCTCTATTCGAAATAACAGAGAAAAAAACATTTCAAATGCTTTGGTTTTACAAATTTTTATAATTATTGGAATTTTACTGTACACCACACCATGCCCTGTCATTACACCTCTGTTTTTATTACCGTGCTCACAAATTTTGTTTATCTATAGTGCCAAAGTTCAACCCTGGAGGTGAATTTTGATAATGTTACATTATATGTTTGTATGTCATGTCCTTACATTTTTCATGTCATACTTAGTATGAAGTATTATTATGTTAGTCCAGTCATATTCTTCTAATTCTGGTCTGGTAATACCCAAGTATTCAGCCTTGATTTATATAGTTTGTATTCAGAACTTCTACAATAGACAATGGCATATAAGGTATTTTATATTTTATTGCCAGGGTAGTAGGTTTTCTGCTCATATGCAGTACAATAATGCAGGAAATCACATCTTTTACACAAACAATTTACATATTGAGTTACAGAGAGTGTTGCAGTTCTGTCATGCATGTTGGCTGCACCACAGTATTCAAAGAAAAATTGACCTGAAATGCATTAATTGGAGGAAAACATTAGCAGCAATTACGGCACGTCAATATGTATTAAAGCACAATATCACCTAATGATTGAACTCAAAGGGCAGCATTTGTAAATTTGAAAACAATACAGAGGAAATTTTAAGATTTAACTATAGTAGTCATATATGGAAGAAAGAGCGTGTACACACCAGTACATTATCATACATTGTCAGTGTGTATCAGTGAGATCAATAGAGCCAAAAACTGCTGGGAACCAAATCCAAAAAAAATTTTTAATTCTGATTTTAAGCTACTATGTTGACGGGAATTAACACATTGCATGATTATATTTGTGTAATAATCTTGTGAATGCGATGAGAACATTTTTAGCACAGACTAGATTTTGGTGTTTGCCCAAATTAAATTATTCTTTACACGATAGGAATATTCTTTGTGCGCAAGCAAAATAATTTATTTCTGCGCTCAAAATATCCCATTGCACTCTCAGGATTGCAGCACAAATATAACGCTGTATGCATTCAGTGCTGAAAAAACACGGGGTCACTTTTCCCGTAACCCCTGTTCTCTGATAACATTAGTGAGAAGAGTCCCTTCACTTTCGTTTTGTTTTAAAATGACACTAAAAATCCCACATTCATCAACACAAACCAATCCAAAATGTGAAATTAAATTTATTGTATGTACAGTATAGTATGTGGTCTAACATGTATACATGATTACAGTAGTCCTCATAAGATATCTGCATTTACATACTTTGATACCAAAAAAATGGCAGAATTTTTATCCTCTACATTGGGATCAGCTTTACTGACATTTTCTTTTTCCTCTTTTCGTAGGATTTTAGGACCTGCGTTACTCAGTATATCATAATGCGCTTGTACTCTGTATTCAAAGCCAAAAAAATGCAGTTGGAATACAGAAGTGTTTATATAAATTCAAATGGAAACAAATACACTGATGGCACACAAATCCAGATAATGTTTGGATATATTTTTATGTCTCCATTTTGTGAATAACTCATTTCTTTTGTTTTCATCTGATATTATTTGCTTTGCTACAGGACTGTTTCTTTTTTTTCAATGTTACCATTATATGTGAATTAGCCCAAGAATGCTCTATATACAGTATGTAGATATGCACCTTTAATCTTTTTTTGCATCTTTGAATTTGGGCAGTAGCCTTTTTAACATGGCCTGATAGAGCTCCTGTTGGATTTAGGGTGAAATCATTATTATTATTTTATACTCTGACCAACAAAACAAGCCTGCCTTCAAGATGACTACTGTCCGAATAAAGGTGACGTGAAAAGTTATTGTTAACATGCCCTCTGGAATTGCTTTTAGCTTAACCCTTACAGAAAACTAAATTTAATCCCGAGGTCCCAAACAGTTACTATACAGCCTGAAAAACACAGGTATTTTTTAACACTTGTCAGTGTGTTTGTATTTATTACACATGTATGAAATCATGGATGTTTCAGAGCTACTGTCTGGAGGTCAACCACGGCATGATAACAACAAACAAACCCATTTGGATCATTCTGAGTGGCTCCTACTCGACTCACCTGCTCAGTATGACAGTCGAGAGTCCGAGCACCATTGAAGTGATGCACAGAACCTGCCTCAGTCGTGTCTTCTGAAGTCATTGGAGTGAATTGACAGCACTGGCCATGCAAGGCAAACACAAGGATTGTTTTTTCGCCCCTGAAAAAAGGCTTAACTCTTCTTTTCACATTGCCTGTCAAATATTATCGAAGCTTCATGTAATGATGCTTTTTAGTTTTTGAATATAAAAGGAAAAGAGACATGAAAAGAAAAATGAACAATTTGTAAAACATAAAATGTTTTATTTGTTGCATGTCTTTTTGTTCTTCAATAAAATAACGTACTGCAGTGTTTTGAATGTTCACTTCTTTTTTATAAGGATTTTGGAGTGAAATCGTGGAGCCCTTTTTCTTGACAGGTTTTAACTTTTAAGATCTCTGCGTATGTAAAAAAGCTATCAAATGGAAAACTATTGTCTTTTTAATTCCAATTCAAAACATGTTTTCTGTGGAGAAAAATAGCTGAAAGGTGTAGGTTTTATGGTCTCTTCATTTGTACTGGCAATGCGTATCCCAAATAAATTGTTTCTTTTGTTGCATAAATTGCAGTTATGTCATTTCTCACGTCAAGTTTCATGTGCTTTTATCGAGTTTTCCACAAATGTATGGCTGAATTTCATCTCTTAACATGTGTGTGGTTTCTCCTCCAGACTTTTGTAACAGGGTCAGGGTCAGGAGTCACTGGAGGACACAAGTTTACACATTGTCAGTCCAACACCTCTGGATAACATTGCACGTCACACGTCCAACTATGCTATGGCACGCAGGCATTTTATCAACACTAACATAGCGCCGGAGCTCGGCCGAGGTGCCGAAGGTGTGAAAGGGACATTTTCACAGTTTTCGAAGTGAGTGAAAGCTGTGCGCTCCCAGCAGACAGAACACCGCCCCTCCCTTCCCCACACCCAGCGCTCCCTCCGAGGCATGGTTAATGTGCGTTCCCTGAAAGAGGCGGAATCCACACTTATCTCTCTCCTCCAGATAAACCAGACAGGATGTCTGATTCTGCTCTTTCAATTCATCCGTCCCTGGGAAGAAAAAAAAAACAAGGAACGGGTTGAAACATTAACTTGTGGATTAGGAAGAGGTTCCCAAGAGCATCCAAAATCAGAGTGCGTGACAGAGACTGTGGGAGTGACATATGCAAACATGATCAAGTGTAATTACATGGAGAAGCCTCCTTGTTTCTATCAAAGGACTTCTTTTAGCCACTGTTTGAGGAATGAAAGGCAAGAAGTGGTGGACGTGTATAATTTATTCATGTGTTACTACAAACCAAAAGGCATTGTGAGGCTGATTCAGTCATTACATGGTGAAAAGGTATAAATCCCATTCTGAGTAAAATCAGTGTATGTTCTTTTGAATTTCAGATTCATTTAACAAATGGGCTGGATAACATGCTACACCGTGGCAAATGCTATGTAGGTTTTTAAGGAGACTACACTGATCATTATCCATTTTACAAGGTGAAAAAAATGCAAAATCAGAAACAGAATCAGGACTTTTTAAAGTATTTTATATATAAACAAATACCTTGGCTGAAATGTAGATTTAGAGTAATAAGTTACATGTACCGTTGGGAAACTACAACATTATCTTTTCTTGACCTTTTGTTAAAACTCATTCACCCTAAAATTCAACTATATCAATTTTAAAAGGAATAAGAATCAGTTGACAGGTGTACATATTTTTGATCTGTACAGGAAGTGCAAGCCATTCCCAGAAATCACTTATTGGCAGGTTAAAATATGCCTTGATGTCTTGGTTTTAATTCGGCTAAATTTGGTTGAAATGTGAAGGCTTTATAGACACCTAGGTTACATAAACTTGCATTTCAATAGCATTTGTGACTGTTTCAATATGTAAACTGGTTCACATTGAAATGTTGCTATTTTAAGTGTAAACAACAGCAAGTTAGATGTAACAGATAAGCTTTGGCTAAATGAAAAATCTGCAATGAAATGTTTTTGCTTGCTCCATTGATCTTTGAAGGAAATAAAAAGTTGTTTTACTCATTTCACAAATGTGACAAAAGATTTGTCCATTTTTTTTCCCCAAGTACATTTGACATGTCACAGTAAGAACACAATCACAGGTGTAAATAATAAAATGAGTGATGGCTGAATTCCATTTAGTTGGTTCAGTTTCAGGGTCCAGGTATGGTTCATGCTGGCTCTCATCTGATCAATCAGGGTCGTAGCTCCCATTGAGAACACTGAAGTCATGTCCTCTGAAATAATTTTGGGAATGTGGAGAGTTTATTGATATGAAGTTAACATTCTACAATTTATGTCAGTGTTGTATTTTCAGTTTATTTTGGATCCCCTCAATCTGTAAAATTATTACAGGTTTAAACACATTTGTGTGTAATTAAATTACCACAAATGACCTTGGGAAGAGGAGGGGTGGTGAGCGACAGGGGACCCACAGCTCATTTTAGCCACACTGCCCTCTAGTAGGTAAATCCGGCCCTGGTTGTCACTCAAAACGCATTTAACAGGCTAAACTGGTACAGTTAAAAATGGCAGTTCTTTCTGATGGAACAAATCAACTGAAAAATAACACTTTTAATGACAACGGTGAGAACATCATCATCATTTCCATCGCAAAACTGAAAAATACCTCAAATAGGCTGCGCACAAAGAAGTTAGAGTTTTGATTTGTCTTAAGATTTGTAAAAGGCTTTATCACAATTTTGCAAAAAGATAAAAATTCAGCGCTGGCTGTGAAGGAATTTTCCTTCTTTAAAGTTAATATCACATTAGGATCATTTGCTGAGCTAAAGTAAGCCAAAGGTGACAGTCTGTGATTCTCCAAAAGTCAAACTCTGTCTGGCTGACAACCCTGTGGTCCATCTCCTAGGCAACCCAAGGTCAAGATTAGCTTTATTTAGTTTCAGACAGACAGACTGGCTCTCTTTAGAAAGTGAGTAGGTAAGGTAAACACATAACGTCTTGTTTTGAACCAGCATCCAATAGCCTCTTCACACATAGATGAGTGAAGAATATCCTTATTTGAACACACAGTGACTCTCTGTAGGTCTAGGAAGGAGAAATGCTCTCCACCATGGTGTATCCTTCATCCTTGTTACTACACTTTGTTCTCACTCTGCTTTTGCCAGTCTTCCCAGCCGCGGCTTCAATAAACCTTGCTGTTTAAGACATCCTGAGTGTCATGAGATCTTCTTCATCAATAAGAGTTGACCAGCTTACAAGAATTTTCATTAAACTGCCAAAAATGCAAAAGCAAACATCAGACTATTCAATATAACATGAGGGATGAAATCAAAGGAAATATTGTTTGAGTAACCTTGACCTCATTGTCATTGGTTTCATACATCTGAGCCTTCTCATCATTGGAGTTTCATATTAGTTACCCTCAACTAAACCACAATGCATGTGGCACATAGAGCAGGGTTCAGGGCTCACATTATATCAATGACAATAACAAGGCTCATAAAAAGGCTAGCCTTATACACAACACATAAATGTGCATCACTTATGTCAACGCCGGCTAGCATGACACGCACACACCAAGGCCACACACATGTGCCTGAGGGAAGGGCTACTGAAACAGACGATACAATAAGGTCTGAGGGCATGACATAATGGAGAGGCTTTGTCTCAAGGAAACCCCCAGTGCATTAATATGATGAAACACGGATAGATCTCAAGCTCCCAAAGGAAAAAAAAAGGTTCTGCAGGAATAGGGTCAGGTAATTAGGGAGTATAGGTGCGTTTCAGTCAGAGCTGCAGATTTCAGATTTGGAAACAGTTCAGTTTGGCAAAGATCGGGCGCTGGAAAGCCTCAGTGTCGTATTGCCTATGCCACCCACAGATCTCTAATGAATTCCTCTGATCCCAACTTTCATAAGGAAGACATTTGGAAAAGATTTCACAGATCAGTGCGCATCATCGTAGCCTTTCAACTTATTTCAACCGTGGAACATTTGAATCAGAGTCTGCAGTATATTTGAGCATTTGGGGTGTGGGAGTTTAAGGCTGTAAACTGTTTCTTTATATTTGCCTAAAGCTTCCATAATGAGCAAGATATGGACCTTATCGGGTTCTTCAATTATAGTGGGGGAAAAAACATTTACAATTGTGCCAGGAGATGCTCTTATTAAAGAAAGGGAAAGTTATCTCTCCAAAACATGACTCAAAAATGAAACAAAAAAATATTTTTTGCGCTGATGATCAAGGACATTCAGATACACTGCTGTTGCAATAATTATCGCACTCACATCCAATAACAAAAGTAGGATCATTCATGTCGATCCTCATACAGCTGTGAGCTAATTTGTTTTGCGTTTGTGTCTGTGTTTTCATCTACTTAAATGTTTCCCCTGCATTTCTGGACATGAAGTCATTTGACACATTTGGTCACTGCAGTGTGTCGCTTTAGAGGGAAATCCTGTCTTTTCACAAGATAGCAATGCTGATTATGTTGTCAAGATGGATTTATGTCAGGTAAAAACACTGCCCATTTCCCCCTGCTCTGTGTACCCTGCTATATGCTGCATATTGTAATTTAGGAGGCAGCTGTCATATTGAGTTTTCCCATTATCCAGTATGTACAGCGTGGCTCAGAGTCAGACTAAATGCACTGGATGTGACTATACCATCTCTCTGTATCTCTCTCTCACACACACACACACACACAACCTTGACTTATGAATTCAAATTCATTTTCAAAGGAATAGTCAAAACAGAAGGCTGTTCTTACAGAGTGGTCAGGTCTCATGCCTCCCAACAGTGGAACACTGCTGACCTCTCATGGTCTGTGTGGTTTAAGGTGTCTTTTAAAGGCAGAAACAGTGAAGCTAGGAGAACATCAAAGGCTGATGAATGAATGAGTTTCAAAGTGTGTAGACCATTAAACTGTGTAACAGATATATAAGTTGTCTTTGCCTTTTTAAGCAGAATATTAATCATTATAGCAGACCTTACAATGAAACCTAAAAAAACATTTATAAAAAGGGCTCAGAAAACACAATATATCATACTAAATAAATCACTTACTAAATAAGTAGTGAAATAATTGAATTCATGAATTGAACTTTAATTATATACATTTTAAGGTGTGATTTTAATCATGGAATTTCCACTAGAGTGAGGCTGTAGAGACGGCACTGTTATTCTGCTAAGCTAGGCTTGCTAGCGTCTAACACTTCTAGTTTGGTGTTACTTTTCTCTCCATTATGATGTAATCACAGTTTTTATTCCTGTTGTATTGCAAACTAAATCCTTAAGATGTTAAAGCATCAAATTAGCTTTTTCAATTCAGAAAACCAGAGAATGTGTCTAAATTAGCTTAATGTGAGGCTATCTCACCTGCTAGCCTCGGCAGGATTGCAGGAAAGTTACTGTGTTTTGGTGATGTACATTTTTCATGCCCCCCCCCCCCCAAAAAAATAACACATTCTGTGGTGTAAACGTAAAATGACAAAAAGTCAGATCTTGAGGTCTTATGTCAGTTTTTACACAGTTCCTGCGTTTTGGCATGAATGGATGTTTTCAATCCAGATGCAATATACTAGTTTTATGACAAGGAGTAAATTAATATTCTAACTGCATAATACAGAAGAGACATAACAGTCATGAAGCTCACATGTGGCTGTGACAGCCGCGTCAGGGCAGTGATAGTGTGACATTACTACATGTGCCTCTTCAGAGAGAGCAATTTAAATCACTGCCTGCATCTCTGCTTTTGTCAGTTCAGAAAATCAATGTTCTATTAATTGCATGTCATTAACATTTATTAGAAGATGCAGGAAACTCAAAAGAACATGTGCACGTCCCACAACCCATTATCTTTTCACCTTTACTTCTCAATTATAAATTGTCAATAAAGTAGGAACTATAAGACATAATAGCCGCAGACAAACTCTCTAACACTTATCAGAGAAATGCTACAGTTACCAGTGGACATCTACCCCTCCACAAATACTTTCAATGAAAGAGTATGAGCCCCTAATATACAAATGATATGTACTTGCACTGTATAACTGGTATAATTCGTAATAATAATGCTCTGCTGTTTTCAAGTGTCCCAGTAAACTGTGGCTGTGTGACAGCGAGCCGGCATGGACAGTACCAGGACTGTGAACAGAAACTGAAGCAGCTAAATGGAATTCAGCCATCATTCAGTTTATTATTTACCACTGATATTCTTCCTCTGTGAAATGGGCTTACATAAATTGTACTATTACTAAAATATACACATATCAAATATCATATCACTGCAGCTTTAAATCTGGACAAGAAGTGTGACAAGGGCGGCACCATTTTTGTTCTCGAGAGACAATTGTTCACAAGGTGTATCACTACATCAATTGTGGCCCTGCAAGATCAAATGTGTAATTCATTTCCAAAAGGCACTGTGGAGGTTCCAGATTTTTAACAAAGGCTACTGAAAGGTGCCTAAGGACATATCTATATTGGTTACAGATTTTTATTAAATACTATGAGTCCCTCAAGGTTCATTGTAATTTTCAGCATGAAAGTAAAAGAGCTGCAATAAAACTGGGGTAACATCCTCAAATACCATTGTTAATGCACGTTTTAGGCCATTCACTGGAAATCATGTGTGCTTCACATTATGCTGATCATTTAACAAAGTATACAACTATATGTTCAGTTTGAAATGGGTTAACTCTGGGGCAACTATTAGCTCCCATTTATTTAAAATGTATCAGTCATTTTAAATGTTTTTGAAAATCAGCTTGTTAAAACTTGAAACCAGCTGGAAATAAGTAACTGTACTAAGTGAGCATTGTATCTGCAAAATTTCATTACTGTTTTATTACCACAGCCAGGCAATGCAGCATATTAAATAAAGACATGATTATTCTGATAGATTTCCATAACCCAGTGAAGTTTCAAGTCTCTGTAAGTTAATTTAATGTATTGCATTGAAATGAATGGAAACCATTAGCTGCCTGTAAAGCAAGAAAATCATTTAAAACTACAGTGTAGTTTATAACAAATGGTAAATCCATATCCATACAACTATGTAAGCCTTTAACTTAGGGTAATAGTTTGGCAGAAACCTGAGTTCAGCCTTTCTGTTGTCTGAGGTTTGCAGGATGTTGCCTGTTGGGTCTTTGTTTATAATTTAGACCTCATGTGTGGATGAAAGTATGACCTTGTGCAGCTTTGAGCTGTCTCAGCAGAGCGTCTGACCATGGTGGCTGACACAGCGAGACGTCTGCCTGTTTGGGGACAGAGGGTGTATGTAGGTCAGCCATGGGCCTGCATGCTGTGACAGCAGCACAGTGCTCACTGTGCTGTGCAGCAGGACAGGGATTGGAGTGGACAGAGAGAGCCGGCGTGGAGAGAGGCCCCCCTCACACGTCAGCACCGATACTTCCTCATTTGCCCCCTTAAACACTTTGACATTATCAGGCCACACAGAGCAATGTCCACCCTCATTATTCTCACCTTTGGTAGCGCAGCAAAATGGGCAAGGGGAAGAAAAAAAACTTGCAGAAACACTGACCAGACATCAGATCATGGTGCATGTCTGAAATGTTGGGATGGTCATTTGGTGGGTCCCGTTCAAGTGAAGACACCACCAGCAGAGACCTTCAATTACAACAAAGTCAGCGTTCTGACAACGCAGAGCTGTGTAAACACCGCCTGACTGTAACAACAAAAGACAGCTACTTACAATTCACTTTAGGATTTTAAAAAATATTAAGTAAATCTGCTGTATGACTTTCCTGAAGTTCACAAAAACAGAATATTCATTGTAACTCGTTTGAATGAATTTATACACAACCAACAAGTAATTTTAACACATCTTTTATTGAAAGAGTCAGAGTATAGTTCCAAATACAAGCTGTAATAATCCCACAAATGATGACATACTGCCATCAAGTGGCTCAGATGATGTATCAAAAATTTAAATATGAAAAAAATATCAAAATATGTATCCTCTGGTTACAAACAGCTTAAGAGGAATAACTGTGGGTTTATATAAAAAGGTCACAAAAGGTGAAATGTATGTTTTGTAAATGTTGTCGTTGCTGTGAAGTGACACTCTGAAAAGTAACAAATGTTAGGTGAAGAAATAAGAAAGCAGGAGCTCATCGGTTGTAAGGATGCATTGAACCGGACGCAGATTTGATGTTTGTCTTGATGCTGCTTGGCATTTTTCCTGAGAAAGAAAAAAACACTAATAAATACACACAAACAGATTTAAATCAACTACTGAATATTGTGTATTAGCAGCAAAAAATGCAAATTACAATATCTGACTGAAGTGTAAAGAAAAGGTTTGTATAGTTCAAAGTGGTATTGATAATAAATGTTTTAATTATGTACGGTTAACATGTCTACACAGAAATATACATATCTCAGCACATATTAAGGGTCAATTCTTACTCTGTGTGAACACAAATAACTAAATAGCTCCCTTGATATATTAGGCTCATTTGAGATGAATTTCTGCCTCGCCTGGAGAATGAAAAAAAAGCTGAGGTCAAGTCAGTTTCCGCCAGCATCATCGCTTCATACAGGAAGTCACAAACATTTCCCCTGATTGAATAAAATACTATTTTTAAGATCATTCTTTTCAGCCTTTGCTGTCTGCAATAACTGTTGACAAATTGTGTTGTGTGAGAAAGGGTTTTAAAATATGGTGTAGTCATTACAGAATTTATTATTTAACCTTCATACTGTATTTATGAAAGTATGCTATATGTATATAAGTTTCTTCATTCACAACTCACTCACATCCTAAAATAGTCACATTTAAAACGTCAATTAATAGGTCAAATATTCTTACAAATCACACACACACACACACACACACACACACACACACACACACGGAGATAAAAGAGCAGCAAGGGCGTCCCATCAGGACATATTTATTTATTTGCAGAACAAACACTCAGAGTAGTCAGGTGGAATACTAACCCAGCTCTCCAGGTCTCCTACCTGGCTGCCCTTGCTGCTGTGGAGCCACAGGCCCTCCCATACCTGCTTGCTGGCCTGAACCACCGCCAATGGTGACCTGCTGTAAGGTGGGCCCTCCGCTCATCATGGGCCCTTGTCCTGAATGTCCAGGGGCCCCTGGACCTGGAGGCCTACATTTGGAAAGCCCCTTTCCAAATGCGACAGCTCCAACCAAGGCGTTGGTGTCAGCAGGGTTGAAAGAAGGTTTGTTCTGTCGTATTGCTGGAGGGGAGAGGGCGGGGGGGTCGTGAACGTCAACTTATTTCCATTCAGAAATGAATTTCAGATAAGTTAAACAAACCTGCACTTTCTGCATCTCTGTCATCACGAGGATTGTTAAGCTTCTCTAGCAGATTGGAACACAGCTTATTCAACGTCTGGATCTGTTTCTGTTGATGAAAATATAACCGGGGCGGTTGAACAATGCAAAATACACAATATAAGGCAAAGTAATATTTTACATATTTGCTTATTATTAGTAAGACGGCATTAAACCTCTCAGTCCATATGATAACTAACTGACCTGCGCCGCCTCTGGGCCAATTCGTGCCGCGTCTGCACTCAGCTGTTTCTCCTGCTCCTCCACCTCCGGATCAGGCTTGGTCCGCAAGTAGTCCGGTACAATCTCGTGGCTGAACACCGGGACGCGCTGCTCTGTGAGTTTCTGTGGGGGAACAAGCAGAGAGATCGCTTAGAAAAACGCCTCAAGAGTAGCAGACACGTCAGCCAGCGGCTTTGATACTCACCGCTAAATCCTCATCTCGGTCCGGGGACAGAAGCAGTGGTATTATAACCTGGTTGCGAAAGGATGGCGTCTTCTCGTTCTTGAGCAGTTTATTGATGGTGTTCAGCTGGCCAGATAGAAGAGCAAAGTTGTCCAAAACAGAGGGCCTAGATGACACAAACACACATCAAAGCATCTGAGAGGAAAACAACACTCCCCAATGAACATATTTTAAACTCATTAGGATAGGGTATCAATTTCAAATTTATCAATTCCAACGTGTGTTCCTTCAGATTCACACCATATTGAAGTAAATGCTTCATCATGTTGGAGCAGCTTCCTCCCAAGCATGAAATCTCCTAAGTGCAGGTGTTATATTTTGCTCTGTCGTTGTCGGTTTTAGTGAAGCTACGCCAAACCTTTGAGCATTTGGAATGTAAAACATAAGTACTCTCTTCTCACATGCTTTGTTGAGGTACTGCGTAACAAATGACGTGACCTTGTGGACTGTAAAATGCTCACCAGTTCAATCGGGAGCGCGAGTCAAATATGCAATAAGTAAGGAACCGATGAGCAGAATCGAAATACGTGTCTTATCGAATCCACGGTTCTTTGTAAATTTGGTCACGGTTCCAACTTGGAACCGGTTCTCGATACCCAACCCTACACCTAATTGCTTTTATACAGTTAAAATCTTAATCAACTGACCTGGTAATGTGGGACACTCTGAGTGTTTCACTACCCTCCATCAGACCGACTGATACAATAATCTTTTGAAAACACTTCAGATTTCAATTTCATAAGGACAATCTGCACTACACTATGATGTTGTGTCTTTCATATAAAACAATTCAAACTTAACTTGAGAATTTGACCAGAGATGGACTTCAGATGTGTCATCAGCTGATGGAAGCTGAAACTGGCCCTCAGAATGGGACTAATGGTCCTTTGGAAACTGTGGCTGTGGTAAGGGGACAATGCAGAGGCCCTACGTTCTCATTTTAAAAGATGTGTGTACAATAAAAATGCCCAAAGCCCCAACACTTCATTTACATCTGCTTATTTATTATATCATAAGAATGAAGCAAGAAGTCTTGATATAGTTATGTAATTAACTTTAACGACACTGTTGGATGTTAATGGAAACTGATACTTGTATGCGGAGAGGATGTTCCCTTTGAGTTTAAAGGCACAAACTGAAATCTATCTTCGGCATAATGCTTCACTTACCATGTCAATCGCTCGTATTCATTTTCCAACTTATAAATGAAATTGTGAAGAGCGCTTTTGACGTGTGCTACCCGAGAGATGAGAGACTCCACCGACGCCTCCAACTGCTTCTCTTCTCGTTGCTGAGTGAGAAAAAAAGACAGAGCTCTGTCCGATAACCTAAATGTCCAACACACATTGAACACACCAAACATCCTAACGACTAATAACAACTTCATCAATTAAATGATCAACTTCACTTCACTTCTGTTGTTCACTTCACTGTTATGTTAACCTAACGTTAGCTGTTAACAGTTAACTTAACGTATCGAGTTAGCAAGTTAGCTACTGCTAGCTCTGCAAATAAGTAAACCAGAAGGGATGATCATATGAGTACAACTTCAGTGGAAATACCAGTGAGAGATATAACAAAGCATCACACTGTAATTTACTATAAATACGCGTTAAAATAAACATTACCTGCATTGTTAAACCCCAAGCTAACGACAAATGCTCTAAATCAATCTGGACGTAAACACTTCCGGTTCGCGTTGCCAAAATAAAAGCAAGTTAGCTGAACTACTTCCTCTTTAGTGTTTTTTGGTGATTGGCAAACCAGCTTAGAGGTACAGTAGCGCCGCCAACTGGACTGGAGTGTGGGACGAGCGAATATGCGGAGAAAAAAACAAAACAAACAAAACAAAAACCCTGGGAATTATTTTAGCAAAATCCCTTTATCCAAAAGATAATAATGTCCCAGTATATGTTGCCTTCTGTTTTCCACAAGTGACCTGACAACATAACGCCATGTTTTGCCTTCCTTACAGAGTGAAGCTGATTCCTCTTGATTTTGTATTTTCTACAGTGAAGTAGAACATGTTTCTGGTTGGCTACAGTGTGTGCATTTTCCAGTTTGGTGCTATTTTATATAGTGTATGGTTGAGACTTGTATAACCTATTTTCAGACAAGTGATTCTCTTTACTTCCTGTCATTTCCAGCCCACCACCCTCCCAGCACCAACACATCTTTGTATATTATATAGCTGTCTTGTTTCATTATTATCCCAATGCTCCTGCCACACTGACTGTACATATTTCCTACTTAATGTCTTAGCTCCAGCTTTGCTTAAAGCAATTTGTAGGTCTACATGCTTAATGCTAAGTGTTTGTTGGCTCCTCCACCTCCTCATTTCTCTTCACACCAACATGAGCAGGAACACAAAGGAAGCGTGTCGATAAACCCTTCCTTTCCATCCTGTACATTATAAGGAATATTTCATTGATGATAACGATTCTAAATGATGATTTGCCAGATCTTGTGCTTGTTAGTGCTGAAAAACTGTCAGAAGCAACAACAGTATTTATTGCCTTCTCTTCTATCCACTGCAGTGCCAGTAATGTTGCCAACAGCTGTGGTATATACTGACACGTGGTCTGACACTCTTTTCTTAATATATGACTCACTCACTGGAATATATACTGCTGCACCTGCACACCCTGTATCAGGATGTTTGGAGCCATCTGTGAATACAGACACTGAGTCTGCAAAATAGTTTTGTACTAAACACCACACTGGGAGTTGCTTGGCAAGGGGAGTGACCAAGGAGGAATGGAAGTAATTCAAACTGTAATTGCTACAATCCTATGTTTTTTGCCTTTGCATCACCAATCCACCCAAAACTTATGAAACGTGTCTCATTGTAATTTCCCATCAGTCTGTTAAAATACTCTTGGCAGGATGAGTAGCACCAGAGACGTTTTATAGAGCACATAGCCGGTGGAGATTGAGTCAGTATGCCAGCATCAACTTTACTTTTCTGATTTTTAAAGTTTTTCTCCCTTTTTCACCTGCATCGCTGATACTTGAGATGTTTTGAATGATCTACTAGAAGTTCTCGGGCCTGAGTTTAATACATCTAACTTTATAAGGTTTGATTCTGCCGGTGACATGTAGGCTACGCTACGCACCCACAGTCAAAGACAGATCTCATGAGTGCCCAATTTTGTAGAGATGCTCTACTTGCTCCCCACTCCTGTCCTGACAAACAACAAAGTAGCTATATTGATGACCTTTCACGTTATCGAAATTAATAGTCCACGTGAGCTTTTTGGCATCCCTTGAAGAAAGAAACAAAAAGAACATTTTCCATTAGAGACAAGCTACAAAAATGTTTGTGTATACTGTCAATTATAGATATATATCCTTAGAAATAAATAAAATTGGAATCAAGCAAAATCGGTGTGGTCAGGTCAGACTTAAAAAATAAAAAAAAATACATGATTGGCCCAGGAAAAGTGCATCTCTTTCTCTTTTAAGCTAGACCACATAGAGTTATTTCAAATTCAACCACAAACTCTATCACAAAGCAGAATCACGAAGAGGCTCAGAATATAAACCCATTTTAGGTAGTTAGGGAGGTAGGTACATTTATTTGTCACAATATAATAAGTTAGATAGTGAAATTGAGCTTTGCAACTCCCTTCTGCTACATAGCAGACAATATACATTAATACAGAAGCAACTACAAAAATGATAAACAGAAATAAACTATATCCAATGGAGCAGTGCTGAGGATGAACCTGAGTTTAAGAGTCTGATAGCTTGGGGGGAAAAGCTGCTCTGCAGTCTGGTGGTGCGGCAGCAGAAACTTCTATATCTCTTCCCAGAGGGCAGCAGGGTGAACAGGCTGTGGCTGGGTGGGTACTGTCCTTTAGGCAGGCACCTCACTGATCACTGATGCTCAGGAGATGGGTACCAGTGACCTTCTGAGCAGTTTTAATCACCCTGCAGAGCTCTCCAGTCCTGGGCTGTGCACATCCCATGCCTGTTAGTCATGTTTCCAGTCAGGATGTTTTCCGTTGCTCCTCTGTAAAAGCTGACAAGTACTTTTCGTGTGAATTTGGCCTTCTTAAGCTTCCTCAAGAAATCCAGTCATTTCTGAGCTTTCGTCACCTGCCTGGAGATGTGAGATGACCATGTCAGGTTCTCTGTAATGCTGATTCCCAGGAGCCTGTTCACCTGCTCCACCTCAGCTCCACTGATGTAGTCTTTATCTCCTTTTCCCTTAAATCAACAATGAGCTCCTTGGTTTTGCAGTTGTGGGTGTACAGTGTGAACAGGAGGGGGCTGAGCACAGAGCCCTGGGGGGCTCCCGTGTTGAGCACTAGACTGGAGGAGGTGTGTCTGCCAATCCGAACTGACTGGGGTCTGTTTGTGAGGAAGTCCAATATCCAGTTGCAGAGATTTGAATTTAAACCCAGAGTGCTGAGTTTGCTGATCAGTTTCATGGGGAGATTGTGCTGAATGCTGAGCTGAAATCCACAAACAGCATTCTGATGTGTAGGTGTCATTTTTCTCAAGGTGTGTGAGGGCTGAGTGGAGGGCAGTGGAGATGGCGTCCTCTGTTGACCTGGTTCTGAAACAAACTGGTGAGGGTCCAGGCTGATTGGGATGTTGTTCTTTATGTGCTGAAGAACCAGTTTCTCAAAGTACTTCATCAGAATGGGGGTGAGAGCCACAGGGTGGTGGTCGTTCAGACTAGACACTACAGACTTTTTAGGTACAGGAACGATGGTGGCTGTCTTGAAGCAGGTGGGAACCCTCTGCTGAGGCAATGAGATGTTCTAAATGTCAGTAATAACATCAACCAGCTGGTTAGCACAGGTTTTCAGTACACAGCCAGGGATGTTATCAGGCCCAGCTGATTTACTCACATTCACTCTCAGCAGGACTCTCCTCACGTCTGCTGTGGATCCTGACAGGGGCCAGTCCTCTGGAGGTGGAGTAGACGTTACAGCTGGCTCTTTGATGAGTAGATCAAAGCGAGCATAAAAGGTGTTAAGCTCATCAGGTAATGTGGCCTCACACATGATGGGGGAGCTCCTGCTTTTGTAGCCTGTGATGTTCTTGATGGCCTGCCACATATCTTTGGTGTTGTTGGTGTTGAGGTCTCTCTCCAGTGTCTGCTGATGTCTCCGCTTCACCTCCTTGATGCTTTCAGTCTAGCTCAGGCTTATCACCCGACCGAAAAGCAGCTTTTTTGGGTCTGGATAGAGCCCTCACCTCTCCATTCATCCAGGCCTTCTGATTGGGGAATGGTTTTATCGTTTTAGTGGTGTGTATTGTTTTGTTGTAGGGTTGGAAATTTGTAACTGAAATAGTTTCACCACAAGCTTTGTCAAGTTGACGTCCACTAGTCCTGTAAAATTGGTGCCCGTGCTTCTAAAAGGGGCCGTGTGCTCAGATTAGTGATTCTGCCTGTGCAGTGGAAGAGTGTCCTCTGATATCTGAAGCCATGACAGCTGGCCTGCTGTTATCTGTGCACGCCTGCTACCTTTGTTCCTGCTCAATGTGTTGTTTCCTTATCTGCTGCTTTTTCTGCTTTAGTGAGTAACTTCACTTTCTTGTACAATTTCTTGTACTGCTAAGCAGGGCAAGCTTCCTAATCTAGTGTGGGTCATAGTAGTAGTTTACAGTAATAATGGTGGCAGATTTACGCTCAAAATGTGCAGAAATTGTTTAACAACAGGTTTTTGATTTCACAAGTAAACTAAGTTAGGTGTTTCTAGACACCAACCTTCGATCTTGCTGGCTGACATGATTACTGTTGCTACCAGATTTTGGTTGAAAACTCAACTTGAACTGTTAATATTTACCGCTGAGAAACATGTTAAAGGATTATAAATAACATTCTAAAAGACTAAGGCTAAAACCTACAGGCTTAATGTTGCAGGTTAGCTTGTCTGTCCTAAAACTACAACATTAAAGAAAAGTAGAATTTAAATGTTCTAGCATGACCAAGTTTGGATGCTATACAAAAACATACTGTATTGCTGGTATTTTTGAATATAAAAAAGGAAAGGTTATGAGGACAAGTGAATGACTTTGTCAAACCTAACACCGTCTTGGATAATGAGTTTCAGAGCAGCACAGCAGCCTTAACTCTGATATGGTAGCATCCAGGACCAGCCTCCACACAATGGGTGTGGCAGTCCTAAATTGGCTTTTTCTAATGTAACCGATAACTCCACAAAATAATGTAGTTAATGCAGCTAATGATACATTCTGTAACTTTGCAAGTAACGCTAGGTTACTACTGTAGGTTGTAGTCTAACTAGCTAACTAGGGGTGCAACGGCTCACAAAAGCCTCGGTTCAGATCATATCACGGACCAACTAGGATCCATTACACCACTCATGCTTTTATCCGTTCTTTACACTTTTTCTTTTTGTGTTATGGATTTTGGAAAGGCAATAAAACAGACAACAGTGAAGTTCTAGCTTTTTGATACTTTCTATAAATCTGATGGTGCAGGCACACACAGTCTCTGGTATGGCACAGCTGCATCTTCACCAAGCAGGTTACACACTGTGGAAGTTGGACATGTAGTGGTATTGTACTGCAATGTCACATATTAGCATTGGTATTTGTATTGGCAAAAAAGGAATATTTTTCACAAACAATGAACATCCAGGAACACAGACATTTGTAGCTAAAACATTTTATTTTGACAAAAAAGGTGTTAGTCGTGTTTAGTGTTTCAGTTAAGCATGCAGAATAAAAATCTCACACCAACTGCCAGGCAATTGTTTTCTTCTAC